AGTTTTAATAGCTGCTACGATTTTCTCATACAAGCTATCATAAATCATCATATACATATTTTTATTTCCGCTTTGGTTGGCTAGCAAGATAAGTGACTTGCACGGATCCGCGTCCTTTAAAGTCATGTCATATGATTTAAGGAACGGCCGGCGGTCGACTTTATGAAAGCATCGATATCCGGGTTCCGGAATGCTATTTTTAATCCCGTGATATATCGTCTGCATGCAACCTGGTTCAAGTTAATCGTGAAATATTATTACGTCACAGAGAGCGCACATCATCATTAAATAATGTCGAATAAGAAAAAAACAAATTATAAAGCGGGAAAAAACTTCTTGAACCGCATCTGTGAGCAAAAAGAACCTTCGCGAAAAAAATTATTGATTGCGTCCAACAGAATTAGAAGATATCATCATTAAGACATTAATCTTTCACAAGACCTCTCTTATTGTGGTTATCGATTTATCGAACGACACACACAAGAGGGGCTGAAATTAATGTCTGAAGGCGGAAGTGGACCCATTACGACGACCAAATCCATGGCTTCAATTCAACCACGACGATCGTCAAGACAAAGGACCCATGTCCCTCAAAGACGCCAAGTCAGATATCCCGTTGGGTTTCCTTCTCCCCGCACCTGCGTTCGATGTTAAACCACATTTCATACTAATCACGCTAGTTTACAACACCACATATTTCATATTTCCCTTATACGTAATCTCATTGTGCGTTTCGGGAAAATTACAGTGGGAATGAGAGCGAATTATGATGCTTTCGGTTCTAACAAATTTTATGACAATCTAGAAAATTGTCTATTAGAATATTTGGTATAGGTACACTCCAGTGATTGTAAATATAAATGTAATACTTATTTAAAATTTCTATTAAAATTTGAAAGAATGCAGAAATACATATAAAGCAAGATAATTTTTGCATTAAAAAGATTGTCGATAATAACATCTTAAAAATCATGTATTTCATATTTATTCTCTCTTTGTGCCGACCATTATCTTCCTTTATATATATATCTGCATTTTTTAAAATAAATTTCTAAAGACATTATCATATATCTTTATATGTATAATCTTTTATAAAGATCAGTAATGCTATCTTTCAATTACAATTTCAAAATGTGAATTGAATAGTATATTAACTCTATTCAAATGCAAATCTGATCATTTATTTAAAGATTGATCGACTAAAGTGACTGTACGCAAACAAAGCAAATAATAATCGTTTTACTCTCAAATTTATTTTCTGGTTGAGACATTTCTTCATGCACATCTCATGGACTTATTCAGTCTTCTTCCCAATTCAAGTTTTATCTCGGCACGAAATGGCTTTTCCGATCCAATAAAGTGCGCCGCGTTAATTATCGGAATTTCGAAGGGTAATTCATTAATATTGCTCTCTAGCGATGGTGTGCGAATCGATACCGCTGCCGCAAGAAAGAAAATGAGAGAGAGAGAGAGAGAGAGAGAGAGAGAGAGAGAGAGAGAGAGGAAGGGAGAGGAAAGAGAGATTCCTCTCCTATAAAAAATCAACAACCAGATGTTGATAATCGACTCTTTCATATTTATCTCGGCACCTTTCGCAACATGTTTTCGTGCATTTTCGATGTCAGCATTGCATTGACCATGGACAGGAAAAAATGCTCTCAGACATTGATAGCGCAGGTCAGCTTCGCAGAGAACGTCGGTACTCGCTCGGCAGCTCTATCAAAATTACTTCGCGGCGTTCGACTTTTCGTCATCATCAATCTTTCCCAGTTTGACTGCTAACGCGATAATGCAGTTACGCCATGCATCAGGATGGGGCGGATATACAGACCCGGTCAGCCTGTCAAATTCGTCATAAATAATTGAATTAAAAGCAACGATGTCATGAGTGAATTTGCGGATCACCCAATCGGCGGAATTTCTGAGTGATTTTATCTAACCGATTTGCTACAGTCTCGTTCGCGGCATTTGAGATTTGAATCACTTTTTATCTCGGATGGAGTATCGGAAATAATCGCTCTTTTGAGATTGTTGCGTTTGTTCGGAAATAACGTGCTGAATTTTTTATCGCCATTTATACCCAATTGACTGTTATGAATATATCATATATGTAATGTATACTTCCTACTATCATATGCAACGTATACTTCCTACTATCTTTAAATATATAAGACTATATACAGAGGACTAGCTTTTATAAATTATTACAAAATTTCAAAAATATAAATGACATTTCCTAATTATTAAAAATATTTACATGATTCTTCAGTAATTATTATAATAAAATTATATATATACAATAATAACAAAACAAAAATATAAAGTTTTTTTTGGCATTATAAACCCTTTAGTCTGTTTAATAAGTATTATTTGATTACTAATTATTATTAACATATGGCATATATCAAAATAAACAGTAAATTATAAATTAAAAATTTATGAATAAATTGATCTTAAATATAATTGATATATATTTTATCCTCGGTTTATTTGTAGTCAAGTAAAATTTCTCTGAAAAATCCACTAATTTTTTCATTAATCTTTCATAAAACGGGTCACGATATTATATCGTTTATTTTATTACTGTTACAAATTACATTGTTTTGGAAAATAATTTTGAAATTATAAGATATTATTTTTCCTCCATTCCATAAGCTATTGAAGTCAAATTAGATGAGTCATAAAGCTTTATAAGCTGATATTTTCTCATTTAAAATTATATATGAACAGAGTTTGTAAATTACTTAACCATCAAATAACATTCGTTAATAATATAATTTAATTATTTTAACTTGTAATTTATCACAGTTAAATTTCGTTAAAATTGAGAATTTCGACGTTTTGCAAATACAAGCGAGTCCGTTATTTTGCAGTGAAATATGAAATTTTGCGATGTAAGCGCGATATCTTGCATTACAATTTAGAAATCGTAATTAAACAAAATGATGGTCAAATTATATAAAATAATAGCAAACAAATTAATTAATTGCTCCGATAAATATTTCCGAAATTGGAAATCCAAATATAGATATACTGTTGCCATTGTTAAAAAAGAAATAATACATCCCCAATGGAAGTTAAATTTCATATAAACTATGGCAACCGCGTTGTGGACGTATCGATCATACATCATCAAAGTCTGTTGGATTTGACGTCGAGATGAAGGTTTAAAATAGAAAGTTCGGGAACACCATTGTTATTGAACAATAACAGACTTTTGGTCATTGACATCTGATCCTATAAAGTCTATAATGATGAAAGCTACGACAGCTAATACTGTGTGAGTTTAGTTCGCTACTATTACGTGAAAGTTTCTAAGTTCTCGTACCAAATCGTCGTCGCTACAAGGATGTCCTCTCGAATTGGGGCAGATTTGTCGCGGTCATCGGCTTTTTGCCGACATCAATCTTGCACGCTCCTATGAGCGATTTAATGTATCGACGCCAAATACAAGATGATGCAATAGTCATCCGTAGAAGAGATGTCTCTAGCACCGTTTTTTACTCTTCCATCTTAATATAAGATATTGATGGTCAATCGAAATAAGGACGATGAGAGATAAAATCGATCTTTTGGAGAAAGTCGGAAGCTTGATAAAGACATCTCAAGCAGGCGCCATTACTGCATCTATCTGTATCCAATACGAGCTCGTCGTTTCTATGGAATCGCATACCGATTGCCGTGCTCTCAGCAGGATTCACTGCGTCGCGATCATCGATCGCCTTACCACTTCGAAGCGTCAGAGGATGTGCGAAAGGAGGCCATTACGCTCGTGTACATGAATAAATTTGTATGGAGTTGTTCTATGGTTACACGGACAAGATTAACCATGTACTACGTTCGTGTTGCTATTGCGTAGACATTAGCATAACTTCTCATATACGTGTTATCTCTACGTAAACGATTTATAATAAAGTATCATGAAATAAAAGCGTTTTTTCTAAATCTAAAGAAGATTTAACCCTTACCTACCGTACCATCTACAATTTGGTGCCTCATCCATACCATGGATGATCAAGGGTCAGAATCTCTTCGTTTTTTTCACCTCTTCAAAATAATTTTAAAAATCTCTAAAAATTCATCAACATACTTTCAACTTTCTAGAATAAATATTGACTCTTTATTTCGGAAAATAATAAAATGTAGTATAATTTATAATTACCGAAAGACTCAAAGAAATTTACACGAACAGGAATCGCTCGGTCACTACACTGAGAAAAAAATATAGTTAATTTTAATAAATATTTAGTTCAATACTGTCAACTAAACATTTACTTACAGTAAATAAATATTTGTTTAGTAAAAAAAATGATTGTTAAATCAAATTAACATTTCTTGTATCAAATAAATATATCTTTATATTTAATAAATATTTAGTTGGCAGTATTCAACTAAATATTTATTAAAATTGACTATATTTTTTTTCAGTGTAGTTACTCATATTGGTACGGTAAGGGTTAAATATATTATATTACTCTCTAAGTAATTCGTTGGAATTCATTTATTTCTTGTAATAAAAATTAGAAGAAAATTGATCGATTATGACAATTTGATACTTCTGTCGAATTTTATAAATGTTCAACTGGTATTTTTTCGATTCGCTAAGAAACGAGTAATATACTACGTTAATATCTTTAATATTAATTAAACATATATAATTAAATATCCGCATCGGTGGATAATTATTTCAAATCAATTAGTTGCATCTTGGAGTACATCAATACATTGCAATTTATTTCACCTTGTAGATGTCAAGATAGCTTTACATGCAAACATGAATTTTATGTTATTGTCTTTCTTTATAAGATGTATAGAAAAGCACAATAAGAGGATTTCGAGAAGAGAATCGCATCTACCAAAAAGGTACAATAATCATCCCAGAGAAATCAATTCATCGTACCTGAAAGCTTCGATTACGACTCGATTCGCCTATATTCGTTGAAAATCGTCGCTTCTTCTAAGAGTTTCTCGCAAAGGGTTACACATAGTTGCTCTCTTACCTCGGCATCGGAAACGGTCCTCTCCGCCAAATTGCGAACTTTGCAGTGCAGGAAGGCAGTGCCGCCCAATTGTACCGTGACATTAGAAACGGTGTTGTTGTCGTTCGCCTCGTTCACTCTCTGCAGTTCGTCGAGATTGCTGAACCAAAGGGCCTTCCAATCCGACGGGATGTTGTAGGGCACGCGTCGATCTAAGAGAAGAAAAATGACCAGCGGGTATAATCACGGTAATTTAATTAAGTTGATTGTCTTAGCAAGGGGGGCAAACTCGACAAACGATGCCGCAATTAAGAGCGAGGCTATCGCCATCTCCGCTGTCGGCAGCAAACTTTTTTATCAAGGCAAAGAAAAATAAAAGTTAAAGGCGGCGGAACGATGGGAGAAAACAAACGCGGAACCAAGCCTGGATTCCGCTTGTTTTACCCCGACCCTCGTGAATTAGAAACTACTTTCCACGCTCGGGCCCTTTCTGAATTACCCTTGTTATTAAATTTTTTAAGAAGACGACCTGTGTTCTCGCGTGCTTTGCTCATTTCCTTCGATGTAAATCACCGGGGAAATGTGCCGTGCGAGTTATGGAGCAGTTTGCACATTGCCATAACGACGTCTTGCGATATTATTTGAACAGTGCAGGAATACGGAAAAAAAAGTTCTTGAGCCGAATTAGGTCCACCTAGTTAATTTTGTTTTTTAATATTCTATTTATTGAAATATACTAAGTAAAAGAATATATAATCTCTATTTCCATCATATACAATACACTCACAAAAATAAAAAGTATCTTCTAGATATATAGAATATCCGTAAATAAACGAAAAAAAATTTTTAACTCTAACATTGAGTCTTATTACATTTGTATAAATACAATAAGACCTAAATAAAAAATAAATTAAAAATAACAAAGAAACTAAATATTATCTTTTTACATAAGTCAGTTTTAAAAGGATCATTAATCATAAAAAGAAATCCCTTAGGATTTACTCTTTTCTTAAACATTATAATACAATATAATACAAATCTCTAATTTGGTCTAAAATTAATCTTTTAATCTTTGGAAATTATCTTTCTAATAATTTGAATGCAATTTTAATTTCTTAAGGTTAGTAACATTGAAAATCGTTAACCTCTGGCACGTAAGCCCCACACATAACAAACAGATAATAATAGTCATATAACAGTCAATGGTCAGATAATAATCACACAAAAATATATGGACATTATTTAATAAAAGTTTATTATTTCTAAAACAATATATTTATTACAAAAAATCGATTTATTTGTTATTTTTCCATAGCTAAGAAGTTGAATAACATTATAATATATTATATAAAATAATGTATACCTGGTAAACTTTGCAGCGAGTTATCATAAAAATGGCTCATATATGCACTTCGTCACAAGTTTTTGTTACATTAAATAAACGTGTTCCTGCTGATTCAAATTCTCTAGTCCCTTTTCATCTACTTCCTATGGAACACTTTTTTAAGCATATATTCTAAGCATAAAGAGCGTTTTTAAGTAATAAATTTAAACCCCTTTTTATGTACACACACACACGCACGCGCGCGCGCGCGCGCACACTCTCTCTCTCTCTCTCTCTCTCTCTCTCTCTCTCTATTTAGACTGGACCTTATTCAGCTCAGGTACTTTATATCCCAATTTTATGGAAAATAAAAATTTTATTGATTCATCAAGAATGATTGGTATTGCACCTTGTAATTTAATGTGCGGTTTAAAATGATTGGCGATTGTTTAAAATTTGGTTTTTATTTTGGTTGTGTTTGGACTCTCGTGGGCATTGTTTTCCGCATTCTATGTCCATTAAAAAAAAATTGCATAGTGTGGTTTCACTTACTTAATCGTGGTACATGATGCATATCCACGATATCGAAAGCGATAGTATTTTGATTGCGATCTTCCGCATCGTTTAAATAATGCGAGTGCACGCCTCGCCACAACAGACTCGATTCAACAGACGAAATTCCCAGTATTTGTGATACAGCCGAAAGAATGAAAGACGCAAAAGAATTTTTTTCCTTCATGCGCGCACGCTTTGTTAAAATTTTCATGGATACGACCTATTTCCGGGCAGCGCAGGTGATTTAGGATGTTTGCCCTCGACAGCAGATTACGATTCAAGAAGACTGTGCTGCTGGTGTGGTAAGCTCGAATGTGCCTGCTTCTCGTCCTGACCTCATTTGAATAATCCATGGATACGTAACGGACGTACATGCCTTTTACGCCATGCGAACGCGTTCGTATAAAAAAAAGAGGAGAAGAAAAGGAAAAAAAAAAGATACGCGTGGCTGGGCGCATACGCGATGTGCTCTCGAAAACGCGACGGTCCATGTCGCATTTGCAAAACTTTATTCATGTTATCCTCGGAATTACAACGGCAGGAATCTTTCAACACTCATAGTTTGCGCCAAAAAGAGGAAACTTCCAAATCAAGTTTCAGCTGGAGAGAGATTTTTACAAATTTTATCGATTATATAATGTGTACCAATTTTTTTCATTATTTAAAGAAAAAAAGAAAAACTATAGAATAGATATTAGGTATTTACAGTTCTTAAAACCATCTTAAGTATAATGTCTTAAGATGCTAATGCTGCTCTGTGATTGGCTTACGATATCTTAAGACTACTTAAGACGGTCTTAAATATAAGAACCGACTGGGAATACCAATCTACATCTTTTAAAAAGTATAATACATGTTCGTACGATGCACATCACATATATATTCTATCTTACCATTATTCTTATCCCATACATCATATTCTAATATATATTTAATTTTGATTTAAATTGGATTGAATCTTATTCAGTGTGTTTGAAGAACTAAAAGATTGGATCTTTTCTTAGATTTCTAGATTGGAAAGCTTTACATAGGTCAAATTAACCTAATTTCAGATATTGACATCTTCGACAAGTGCCTGTAACAGTTCTCAGTTAGAAATCAAATTTTCGATAAATCTTGAGTTCAAAAAATCAGATATGATTGTCTAAATGAAGTAGTTATTAAGACTTATAAAACTGCATAACGCTCGTTAAATCAGAAACTGCATTCTCTCTCTTTTTTTCTCTTTCCTAAAAGAAAATAGATCTAAAATTATAAATGTAAAAAGTATTGAATTCCAATATGATTCTTTGTTTAATCGAAGCTGCAGAATGCAGGATGAAATGAGAATCTTTCTCATTGTCAGAAGTAAATATAAAAGAAATATCTTTTTTATTACCAACCATTTTGTCTTACGTTACGCATTCTATTGTTGTTCATATAAAACCGAAAATTTATTATCACGAAATGGTAACAATACGTAAAATCGCTGCTCTGTTAAGTGCATTCGGTGAAGTGCGCGCAAAATAAGATATGCTCTGTATAGCATGAACGCGCCCGGTAACGTGTATCCGTACAAATATCTTTAATTCACGAAAACAGGTATGTTATACGAAGGAAAGTTCAACTCGCATGATCCGTGCAAGGAAGGCATCCACGTTACCACTTTCACGTGGGTCTTCCTTTCACCGGGGATTCGATTCGATCGTGGAAAAGTTCGGCATTCTAAACGCCTTGCATCTCGATTCTATCTTGTATATAGGTGTGGCGGCAAATCGAGTTCTGGAAGCCTGAAAGTAGCGAGCGCGTGTTTGGCCGCTACCCGTATTCATCAAAGTATCGAGGCAGAACTGGAAATACGAGGGTTTCCACGGATGCCAAATTTTGTAAAGTCTTTTAACCGCATGTAAAAAGAAACGGCAAATAAACGGGAAATTTAATCTTCGGAGGTAAAGTTAGGTGAAGTTAAACGGAAACTTCGTTAAACACGTTATTTAATGAAACGAGGAGGAGGAAAAATATATTTCCGGAAGGAAAAAATATATAAACTACATTGCTAGTTACTTAAAGTCCGAAATTGATATTTCTTTTGCAAACATGCACATGCGGTCATGGCAATCTGACGCTAATCTCATTTTAAACAACGTATGATATTTATTTACAGCCTTCCACGTTGTTCTGCATATCGTGTCAGTTACTCAATTTTGCGTGCATTGAATGTTGCACTTGTTTCACGATAACGAAGTTTCAACACTTTATTTAACCAGAAGCGAATTATTTAGATCGAAGCATCAGGTATTCGCTGCTGCGAGTTTCCGTTGTCTAATTTAATGCTATAGCAAACATCATTGTATGCGGCATAATGAATGAAAATAATTAATTACAACGCTACGGTAATATACAGAATGTACGATTGTTGTGGACTCTGTGTTCAGCATCCATCATATAATAATCCTCGCGATAAATTATCAGGTAAATTATGGAATACAGATTTGTATGGGTGTGTATGTGCGTCGAGCATTCGGGAATTCACTTTTCGTTTTAAGCACTTTAAAGATTCAAGGCAATGAAAACTGGCTCCATTGCTACGTTATCAATCCACGCCGGATAGAATCTTTCCATTAACCCCAGCACGAATCCAGCGTGCGAAGGTTTTACGTACAGTTTACTATTCGCTGGTTAGTTGGATGCTGCACTCCGTAATGGACAGTTCTAAAAAACAAATCCCTAAAATCGTTTCTAAAAACAATAAAATCCTATATGAGAAAAAGAAGCGTTTTTTTTTATGTTTGCATTTTGCAATAGAAATTTAGATATTTCCAACATGTTCCTAAATTAACCCTAAGCTATACTATATTGATATTTTACTTCAATATAGTAATTAAATTAATGAGCCAACTTAGTTACTCAACTAAGAATATTTACACAATTTACTGAAAACATGCGTTATGTGAATATTTTATAATTTCAAACATTTTGTTTTGTCGTTCTAATATATTATTTATATTAAGTTGACCAATTAATTTGACATTATTATACCGAAGTAAAATATCAAAATAGTTTAATAATCGATGAACATATCGAAAACATCTAAATTACTTTCTATTGTAAAATGCAAACGTCGAAAAATGTTTCTTTGTTTGATCAAGTACATTGAATTAATTATTGAATTCAAGTTTTCTATGCATGAGTCTTAAGAATAGTGAATTGGAGAATCGAAACTAATTGATAACGATTACACAAGTAAATAGACGAAACGCTCTATACTTACAGCATAAAAAAAAAGAGTAATAGATTGACAGTAATTTATTCTTATTTCATTTGCTCATTGTATAACAATATTTTATTTGCTCT